TGCTCTCTGTATGTATGTATGTATGTATGTATGTATGTATGTATGTATGTATGCATGCATGCATGCATGCATGCATGCATGCATGTATGTGTGTATGTGTGTATGCATGCATGTATGTATATATATATACATATATGTATATAGATAGTCGTCCACATGTGCGTAAGTAAATCAGCACATATAGTCACATGTGAATAGGCACATGCAGACACCCAGCTGAGGTCTAGTGGGCCGACTCTGATCACCAAAGCTCTGGCGGCACAGGATCCTCTCTTCGACACGGCCCCCCGGCTCCATCTCTTAGACTCTCTTGAGCCTTCTTAAAGCAGCGTAGCCTTCCCAGTCATTTGTCGAGCCTTAGTCAGTTGACTGTTCGGAGGTTTCGGGCTTATAGTGATGCTTCGGTCTAGGCTCTAAGTTAGGTCTATAAGTCTTGGAACTGCCTTCCTTAACTTTGCTTTTCTTAGGTTTTACCTTGGGAGCTTCGGAAGGGGTTGCCGGGTCTCGAAGTCGCTGTGGCTCTCCCCGGCTCCTTTGAGGATAAGGGCAGGCCGGCCCGATCCTCCGGAAAAGCCTCTCTGCGCTTGTCGAGATTTGTGGGCCCGGTCGGGGCCTGCAATTTGAGAGCATAGGGACATCAAAGCTCATCTGCAGGTGGATGCCGCCACGGCAATGTGCCGCAGAAGCAAGCAATGCACTTGAGATTGCCAGTCTCCTCTGCACTGGGTCACAAGTGTGAGAGTCTCCGAGCTTTGTCGGTACTCTTGTAGGCTTCAAATCTTTCTGCACCCCTGGCGCCTGAGAGCCCCGTTGTGTCAAGAAGGCCTCCGATGCCCAAATGCAAGGCAGCCTGGAGCTCGCAAGAGGCTTATCAGGCTTTGAGGGAAGGTTGGCTGAATCCTCCACCGAAATGCTTGGTCATAGCTTCGAGGTATTTCGTCGATCAAGGAGCAGTTCAGTACATCCAGGCAGGAAAGTGCTAGTAGAATTGACAGCAGCGAAATTGTGCATATCCGCCCTGCCGTTTGAGCTTTTCGCCCAACTTTCGACTTAATTGTTCCACCCGTGCTCGCACACCTCAGTACCGGTGTCCGCCGGTTTGTGTGTGCAGGCTTCCATTGCGCAAGCCTCGGTGACTGCTACTTTCGGCGGAGCCACCTTAGGCTCGCGCTTGACACCCTTGGGGGTTTTTGGGGACTCCGGTTCCTCTTCAGATTCGTTTGTTCATGCGACGAAGAAAGTCGCGACGTAAAATGCAGCAATACCGCCATCTGAGACATGCCAGCAGTTAACTATATCATCGTTTATCAGAACCTTTGCAAATCCGATCGAGCTTGGTCATTCGATCCATTTTGAGAAGGCTACACTCCTTGCCCCGGGTCTCCGTGTTCCTGTATCCGCACACCCCTGCATGCATGTATGCTAGCAAGCATGCTTGCATGCATGTGTAAGCGTGCATGTATGTATGTATGAATGTATGTATGTATGTATGTATGTATGTATGTATGTACGTATGTGTGTATGTCTGTATGTATGCATGAATGTAGAGAGACATGCACGTGCATGTTTATGTGTGTATATGCATATACGTATGTAGGTAGGTACATATGCAAGTCGTAGGTAGGTAGGTAGGTAGGTAGGTAGGTAGGTAGGTAGGTAGGTAAGCAGGCAGGTAGGTATACCTATGCATCATAAAAGTGTGCGCCACGACATGTGCCAGACAGGTGCCGCGTCGCCCGTGCGTGGGCGGGGGCCCCAAAGTAGTCCCCCTCGCCCCCTCATAGCGTGCAGTCTGCTGGGCGCGGAAGACAGCGAAATCTGTGTGACAGTTGCTACTTTTGGGCCTCTACTGCTCCACACCACCTCAGCATGGCCAACAGTCAGAGCGATTTGGTGGGCTGGGCGTGAAATCGTATCAATAAAACATCCACATGGGAAGGAGGGGGGGGAGTACAAAAACCCACATCGACAACGGGATCAGAGTCTTGGGCTTTCGATTTTGCACCTCGGTCCTGACTTCCGTGCCAGGAGTTTCGGACAGGCTGTCAGAAAAGATGCCAGTGCCCGTTACACCGCAGCTTGGTCCGAAGTGTAGTGTTGAGTGGCCATTTGTTTTTAAGGGGGTGTGGAGCTTAGGGCGAGTGCGGCGTTCAGATCGGAAGTGGATCAGAAGCTTGTTTGTTTTGCGACTGACTAATCGTGCAGTCTGACGATGCCCAGTCGAAAGGATTTCGATTCAGCTTAGGAGGAGTAGAGGAGATGGGTATTGTAAGACCATGTTGCATCCTTGTGTATGTGAGCTGTTCGGAGAAGGCACTATCTGTCACACGCATTGGCCACAGTATGTATGGGTTAAACAACGGAGAATGTCGCAGACACAGGAGACGGATGCAATCATGAGGAGATCAATTCGCGTCAGCTAAGGGCCAGCATCAACCACCTTGCTCTCGATCCAGAATATACCATGTCCATGGAGGACTCTTGCTTCTGTTCTAAGCCTGAGGGGAAGAAAGGTTCACAGGCTCAGGGTTAAGGGCCGGTTCTTCGTCTCTTGGATGGTGTGGTGACGCGCCGGTCGAACCCCAGAGCAGAAAATAAAGAGTCTCGACGCCCAAATCCGAAACCCATGAAGGATGTGGTGACTGCATCACAAGAAGCTGGACAGGCCTCCACGGTGAGAAAGCATGGAAGCTCCCCGAGGGTACATTCGAAGTTACTGTTTGCGGTCTGTGGGCCCACGGTTAGGATGGGCAAGGAGTAATGCGACTAGGAGTGGGGTATATCGTAGTATATACTTCTACAGTGACTTTGTGTGGCTTGCGTGGGCCAGCTTGGCTTCGGGAGCTTCCTTAGCAGGACTTTAGCTTGCCAGGGAACGGTCCCAATTCTGATGCCCCTTCCGCGCATATCTTCCACGAAGGTCATACAGCCCGGTGGACATTTGTGCGCCCGGGCTGAGATTAGAGCTGTTTGCATTGGATGTCGAAGATGTGAACGAGGATTTTGGAGCCTAAGAGGAGCACTGAGGCAACGGTTTGATTGGTTCGGGCGTTCCTACCATGCACATACACGAGCTTGGCGCGAAAAGTCCCGGCTTACCAATGAAGGTATCTCAAAAAATACGAGCAACGATGGAGGTAGCTCTAAGCCATCTACGTGAGCTAACCTACTTTGCAGGGGCATGTTTGGGGCCCTAAATTCAGGTGAAGTGGCCTTATGGGCCAAATGGAAGCACGTCGGATCCGCCAGGGCGGTGTTGGAGCTACTTGACGGCTTAGTTCTTACATATAGGGTTCAGGGTTACAAGTTTGGAGGCTGTAAGCCAGAAGGTGCACGTTGTGTCTGCCCACATATTCTACACCCCCGCATGTTTCTGGGAGTTCCTCGCACAGCCCTTTTGGTGACGAGAGTCTACTGCAACTGCGAAAACGGGGCAGTGAACTCAAATGCTCAGGTCCAGCATCGTCCTGGTCAGCGTTAAAGGCTTTGCAGAGTGCGTCCGCAGGGAAGCTTGGCATTACCATGCAGCAAAGCCCGAATCCCCACAATGGCCGCCCTCCTTCAAGGATGATTGCAGAGTTTCGCCAATCACAGGCCTGACTGCAAAATTGGCCTGGCCGATACTGGTAACTCAGGATCCAGCTGTGGATGCGATGGCATCGGTATATGCGAAGACGCCCCTCGCATGCAGGGACATTGCTGGGAGGGACCTTGGTGGCAGCAAACGTGGCTTCGGCTGGTGTATCTTCCATAGTAGGCTTGTGCAGGCAGGGGCACGAATGTCATGTCAGAGCATGTGAACTTGGATCCTTACTCTGAGGGCGCCTAAGCAGGCCCTAAAAAGCCCTGAAACCCCCTCTCAAACGACCTCCGGCCATTTCCGGCCCATGCTTCCTTTGACAGGTTTGTCCAGCTGCTAAATGATTCAAACGTGGTGGCCGAGGAAGAGCAGGCGAGCCGCTTATGTCTAAGAAGGGAGGGGGGGTTGGGACTGTAGGACAGAGGGGCCTTATAGACCCTAAACTGCTAAAGTCTAAAAACCGTATCCGGGAGGTGCCACCCGGCGCAAATAAATCATCAGTAGGAAGCGATTTTTTTCGGGCGAAGGTTACAGGCAGAGTTCCGGCCCCGGACACAAGATGGGCTTTAAGGGACTCAGTACGACTCGGTGTGGGGTTTCAGTGATTCAGGGTATAAAGATGTATACAGTAGGTGCCAAAACTTCGAAGATGATTTTCTTACAGAGAATCCTAGCGGTAGTCAGCCATGATCCCATGTTCCCTTTTTTGGGGGTCAAGGGCATCGAGGAACGGAACTCGATGGCAGGAGACATCTTGCCCTGCGACCAAAACTCTCGCAGCCGGCGGCTCAGAATCCACGGTTTCCGCCCCTTCAAGCCCCAAAGACCCATGCGAGCCTACACGAAGTATCTAGGTTTAGTTTCAGGTTCCCTGGTTCGGAGTCTTCGGTTCAGATAGTGTAAGGCAGGGTGGGGGAGGGGCGACGGGAGAAACGAGCACTGGCAATACTAGATAGCGTTCCTCCAGTGGCTCTGACTATGACTAGCCGCCTGCAATCCTCTGCCCACCACGCGTCCGAGCCAAGATTCTCTAAGTGCTTCTGGAATCATTCTCGCCGGCCGCATCCCAAATCCTCGTCGGCACAATCGCCCAGTGAAGCGCTCCGACAGTGCCAAGCCAGTCTACGAATCCCGATGCTGGCAGACATAGGCTCTTCTCGTAACGCCTTGCTAGCTCTAGAGACATGGGGCACCCAACCCCCGTCCGAGGAAGATCTTTGGCGTGTCCTGGCCGCAAAGATTGAAAGTCAGAGCCTACTCCGGAGTTTGGGGCTTCAGGATTTACCGCTGCGAGAGAGTCTCTTCCCATCTTACTTATTGCAACTAGGTCGTCTACCACCACAGCCTAGCGCGACGAGGACCACGATACCGACGACGACGACGATACCGACGACTGTTATCATTGTCATTAGCATCATTTCTAGCCAAGTCAAGTGGAATGACCTCGAGGATGGCACCGACTGAGGATGAGGATAAGGGGGAGAATGGGCTGTAGTGATGCAGAGAAGGATGAGGATGATATACACGACCGTGTGATAGCTATGGTGGACACCGATCCGCAATGCTGATGATGGTGTTATTTAATTTGTCCGGACAGCTCGTTCGCATCAAGAATTTATCGCGGTGGCCGTGAAGTACTTTGCAAGGATTTGAGCAACAGCATTGCAGGCGGAGTTTTTGATTTCGTCTTCCATGGCATCCTCCTTAGTTGTGTACATGCGCTTTCGAAGTTCGACGTTCGTCTGGCGCTTGCCGGATTAGCAATTTAGCGCACCGGTTGCGACATGAGTCATGACCATGGCTATGGAGTGGTCAGCATAGACCGGCGCCCCAAGTTCCGATCGGATGCTTCATTGGGTTAGTTTCAACTGACAGCCTCTTCCCTGCAGATGAATACACCGCCAGCAACGACACGCCGAACCAGGGCAACTTCATGGCTGCTGCCAACCGCTTGCCGGCTGCATGTGTCGCTTTAGGAACTGCGGCGGAGGGGCCAGAAGAGCGCCAGAGGTAGCATGAGCTTTCAATACCTGCAGCCATGGGAGTTACACGCCAATGCAAGCTTGTTTGGGTTTGGGATCGTCAGATAGGTATTTCGGGATCCCGATGTACGCTTTGCCTTTGCTCCCTAACTCCGTGTTATGTTTGCGCCCCGCACATGTCCCAAACAGCTCTTACCTTGTTCAACAGAAGCCCGCAAGCTCGCGTTTCTGAACTGTTGTAGGCCTATGTGGCATGGACCTTTAGGGGCAATCCCTTTTGGTTCATATTATATTGCTGAAACACAGGGAGGCAAAAGTACATGCTGCGTCGCACCAACAGAGAGTATCAATGCTGCAGAGGATGACACTCTTCGGAAAATTTGGTGCTATCGAACCGCCTCTGTTTGTTGTCAGTGTTTGCAATGGGTAACAGAGCAGCGAAGGGCCCTTCAAAAAAAATTGCTGCTACCGAACCGCCCTTTGCTGTCCTCATTGTCTGAGAACGCAGCGGGTCGATAGCACCAAATTTTCTGACGGGCTTCCTTTCAGAAAGTTTGGTGCTGTCGAACCACCCCTGTTTGTTGTCAGCATTGGTAATGGGTAATTGAATGACACGGCAGCGCAGCGGTTCGAGAGCACCACATTGTTTGAAAGGAGACCTTTCTGAAAACTTGGTGCTACCGAACCGCCCGGGGCTGGCTTGGGTGGGGCTGGGCCGGTGGGCCGGGGCTGTGGAGGGGCTGGGCTGATGGCTGGAGTCTGGAGGCTAAGTCTGGGCTGGAGGGTCCAAACGCAAACATTTAATGTTTCAGAAGTTTAAATACGGTATTGTTCCTGTTTAAATCGTCTGAATTCTTTCAACTTTCAATTCCGGATTATTTGAACCAATGCAGAATTAAAAAACATTACCATATTCATGTAAAGTCTTTATATTTCCAAGTCCGGACGATTCAAAAATTGCCAGAATTTAAATCATTTACTGTATTTAGAACTTATCTTTATTTTGGTAATTTAAGTTTTGTTAATTCTGCATATATATATATATGCACACACACATATAAATATGTATATATATATATGTATTTATGTGTATATATATATATATGTAATATGTATGTATGCATTCATGCATGCATGCAGGTATGTACGTATCATACACAGAGCCAAGCACTACGCCAAATAGACCCTCAAGGTCCTACGTACATAGGCCTATACAAACCACCTCCACCGAGGCTTCATCGGGTTGACGCGGAAAGGGATGAAGGAGCGCGCCTTCAGCTTCAGCACCGGTTGATCCTCGACCCACGCCGCGGTGACTGCAGAGGCCTGTTGCAGCAACTTAGGGCCCTAACAGGGATCGGGTGCAGGGTTTAGGGTTTGCGGTTCGAGTTTCGTTTTTATGACTCGGCATAAGTTGGCTGAGGCTCCATGCATTTGGGGCTTGTTTGGGCCACGACATGGTTCGCGGTCTAGAGCTGGATGGACGGCAGATCTTGGATCCTACGACAGGGTTTCGTAGCCTTCTTGATGGACTCTCGCCGACAGGCCGTTGAGAGCCTGTTCTGCTCACGGCTTGGCTTGCAACAACACTGATGCACAGGGCTGTCTCATCTAGATCCTACAGACTAGAGATCGTGAGTGGGCTCGGGGCGTAGGAGAAGGGTAGAAGGGGAAAGAACGAGTCCTGGCGAAATTGCAAGGACAACGTCCACCTTAAGAAAGCCAACTGCAGGCGCAGAGCCCTACTGCAGTGCAGAGGCCGGGAGTGGGTTTCGGAAATGCACAGCAAGGTGAGACGAAAAGCCTCAGTGTGACAGGGTCGCTGGGCATAGCACCGGCGTTTCTAGGAAGGTGCGAGGCTTCGAGTTTGGATTGTATCTGGATGTATCTGGTCACTGGTGTTTGCAAGGCTCGCTGTGCAATAGCAAGTCCCAGGGAGCCGAGTGCATGTGTCTTCCTCTGTCTGGGCCATAGCATTGAACCGGGCCTATTGTTTTGAGGTTTTCGAGCTTGCCTGATGTTGCAAATCTTCCAGGCTATTCGCGTGAGCCGGGGGCCCGCGGATGTGGTCCAGGGCCCATCACGTTTGTCGGCCTGGGATCCTCATGGTCGGGATATGCTGAGCCCAAGATTGTTGGCAGTGCCAAGTCCCATTTCCGCAGCTGCTTAACAATATGTGCGATTTATCGGCCTAGGCTTTCGGATGAACCACTGGTTCACTAGGTTTCCCGACGCTTGACTTTATGAAGCCGGCACATCATTTCACCGTGCATCATGCCAGAATACGATTCTGTCCCGTCGAAGACTGGGCTTTCGTGCGGGTAAGGTGTACGAGTACCCCAGAGCTCTCGGCTGCTTCACGTGCAGCTTTCGGAGCTCGGATAGGTCATGAATCAGAGACAATCGCCGAAATGCACCTTCTGCTGTGTCCATGTCTCCATTCGTTTTTGCAAGCCTGAACTATGGAGATGACAACGTGAGAAGATGGCTGCTTTGCAACTAGAGATGGCATGGTCCTGGCTCGGCCATGCACGAAGTGCAAGTCCACCCGAGCTGATTGATTGACTTAGCTTAGGTTCTTCCAAGAGGTAGCTGTCATCGCAGTCGTCATATAGATTCCTTTTGGCAGTTCCTCTCAACACAGACTGCCATGCTCGGACCACTGCTTTGACAACTACCCATATTCGAGGCAGGCCTGATAGCTGGCTGCACTGTGACAGGGCGCCAGTGTCATTTCACCCTTGCCTTTGACATAATTTTGCAGAAGTTTCAGCAGAAAGTGGGGGCCGCGGCACTCATGGCCCCTTCGGTGCATGCGTTGAACGGGCCTTTTGAAAGATGATACAGTAGTTTGCAGCAGCATACACACGGCACCCCCGGAATCCGCATCCGACAGCTGCCACGAAGCACTCGGCCTCAAAAAGGAGGCCCCCTGCCACCCACGTAATCGATGATTGAGCTTTACAGGCCCGTGACCTCAATAGCCGCTCGGCCCGAATCCCTCGCAAGACCAATATGTCGGAGCGCAGAAGCGCTATTGATAACTAGTCCCTGATTTAGACCAGTCCGAGGGCGAGCACTGAAACCCGAGCAAAAGATAGCAAATTCCTAGCCGGCAAGGAACGTTAACCCTCAAGGTTTGGGACCTTGGGGCTTGAGGGCGCTTGTGGCCACAGCTTCTTGGAGCTGTAGGGCTTGAGAGCATGGGTTGAGGACTGTTCTTAGGGTCCACGAGTCCGCGAGCAGGAAAAGCATAAACCCTAAACCCTAAGCATCCCTAAGCTGGGCGGGTGGGAAAAAAAACCCTGAACCCGAAAACCCTACAGTAGGGAAGAACCCTATATATAGAGAGAACGCGAGAAAAGTGCAAGAGCCCTAGTCTGAAACCGA